ACTTTAAAAAGTTAAAACTGGGCACCCCAAAGCCCTTGCGCCAACTAGTAGGGAACGAGTTTTTGAAAATACCTTTTGCGGGGTTCAAGGAACAAAGGACGACTACGGTATGTGTTTTGCTGCAAAAATCCTGCACTATCATGTGATTGATCTGTAGTTCTACCCAGAGCTCTTTTTGTAGCAGGAACTCCTTTGCATATTAGGTGACACACCCCTAATGTAGCCAATTCTCCAAGAGCTTACAGGGCTCTTCTTACAGGGGCTACTGTAAAGCTCTTGGAGGATTGGCTATGTTAAGTTGCTCACTTAACAAAGCAGTTGGAGAGTGATTCAGCAAGAACACAACTTTATTCTTCAACTCAAACACAACTCCAACACGGATCAACATCTGATAGCCAGAACAGCCTTTACATTGCAGCTGTCCTGCTTTTAAACATTCCCGGCTTTCCTGGGCTAGTAACACGATTGGATGGATTTGGATCCTAGCCCAGGACGAAGCTTTACATTACACTTCAATTAGATGTTTCACAACATATCATGCATTCAAGGCAGCTTTGAATACACTACAGGCTACATCAGGGGTGTGTTGCCTAATATGCAACAGAGTTCCTGCGACTAAAAGAGCCCTGGTTCTACTAATCATCTGAACACGTCAGTACTGGATGGGGAGGTGGGACGTCACGTTACCACAGCCTTTGTGAGGAGTGATTGGTCTTTGCCAAGCACTTGTTTTGTTACTGGCAAGAACCATGGGTTTTGGGGAGGATGGGGGTTAATGGCATTTCCTGCATCCTTTGGTGGTAGTGGAAAGTGCCGTCAAATTGCAGTGACTTATGGTGTCCCCACAGGGTTTTCAAGAGAAGAGGCATTCAGAGGTGGATGGCGATGGCCTGCCTCTGCGTAGCAACCCTGGACTTCCTCGGTGGTTACTCATCCAAGTACTAACCAGGGTCAACCCTGCTTAGCTTCTGAGATCTGATGAGATTGGGTTAGCTTGGACCATCTCAGTTGGGGCGCCCACTTCCCTTAAGGTAAAGGTAAAGGTCTCCCTTGCTCGAAAGCCAGTCGAATCCGACTCTAGGGTTGCGGTGCTCATCTCCGTTTCAAAGCCGAAGAGCCAGCGCTGTCCAAAGATGTTTCCGTGGTCATGTGGCCGGCATGACTAAACACCAAGGCGCAAGGAACGCTGTTACCTTCCCACCGAAGTGGTACCTATTTATCTACTTGCAATTTCTTGCTTTCGAACAGCTAGGTTGGCAGGAGCTGGAACTAGAGACGGGAGCTCACTCCGTCATGTGACACTCGGGTCTCGAACTGCTGAACTACCGACCTTCCACAGCCTGCAGTTCAGCGTCTTAACCACTTGAGCCACCGCAGCTCATGTGTCTATAGGTAAAGGTAAAGGTTCCCTTACTCGAAAGCCAGTCGAATCCAACTCTAGGGTTGCGGTGCTCATCTCCGTTTCAAAGCCGAAGAGCCAGCGCTGTCCGAAGACATTTCCGTGGTCATGTGGCTGGCATGACTAAACGCCGAGGTGCACGGAACGCTGTTACCTTCCCACCGAAGTGGTACCTATTTATCTACTTGCAATTTCTTGCTTTCGAACTGCTAGGTTAGCAGGAGCTGGAACTAGAGATGGGAGCTCACTCCATCATGCGGCACCCGGGTCTCGAACTGCTGAATTACTGACCTTCCAGAGCCTGCAGTTCAGCGTCTTAACCACTTGAGCCACCGCAACTTCCCCTAGCTAGACATTTAAAAGGAAAAGGGAAATTTTGTCAGTGCTGGTGGCTGCAATAGATGGCGTAACGCCCTTTGAGGCAGCAGTTGCCCCTCTACTGTTCCTATCCCCCCCAAAGCAAATGCCACATTATTTAAAAGCAACAATGACCAAATATAAAGGATCAGCAGTTTTCTACTTATTTTACCGTGTATTTCCCTACCCCTACTCCCCATCATCACAGTGCGCTGGACAGCCAGTGTGGTCTACTGGTTAAGAGTGTCGGACTGGGATCTGGAAGGACCGGGTTTGAATCCCCACTCATGCCATGGAAGCTTGCTGGGTGACCTTGGGCCAGTCACCCTCTCTCAGCCTGACCTACCTCACAGAGTTGTTGTGAGGATAAACTGGAGGAGGGGAACAGTGTAAGCTGCTTTGGGCCCCCTTTGGGGAGAAAGGGAAGGTAGAAATGAATTAAATAAAAATAAATCTTGATAGGTATTTTAATTTTTTTAAAAAATCTTAGCTTATTTTGTTCCTTTTAAGCATAAAAACCCCACTTTGAGTTGGATGTGGCTTATTTTGTTCCTTTTAAGCAAAAAAACCCCACTTTGAGTTGGATGTGGCTAATTAGATTGTGTTGACTCTATATTCAAAATAATAAAAATAAGACCTGGGCTTGCTGAAATGGCATCCCTTCATGAGCGACAGGAAACACAATGGCCTCAAAAGGAGAAGCACTCTCCTTCATGCCAACCGCTGTCTTGACAACTGGCTCTGAGGATCAGATTTTGGCTGCCGATCAGAACGGGCGGTACTGAACTCCACCGATAAGACACCTCCGTGACAGCTTCCATCGTATTTATGAATAATCTCTGAATGCCACCCTGCCTCAGGCATGACGGGTCAGGGTTCTAACGCCAATTAAAACCAAAGTGTTGAATGAATCGCTGGCCAGGTGTCAACAGACAAGCCGGCAGCAGAGAACTTCTTGTAAGATTTTCCTACTGGATCTGATTCTTTTGAGTGGCTTGGAAAATTCGAAAAGGAGTTGAGGAGGACATTTACCCTGATGCCAAATCTGAGACTATCACACCTCAGTGTTACTCCAAAGAAGGGGACTTTTGAGTTTCCAATTATTGATCACCTCTCTTATCCTAGTGGAGTGCCAGTTAATGGTGGCCTAGCCACTGAATGATGTTCAATTAAGTAAAGGTAAAGGTTCCCTTGCTCGAAAGCAAGTCGAATCCGACTCTAGGGTTGCGGTGCTCATCTCCGTTTCCAAGCCGAAGAGCCAGCGCTGTCCGAAGACGTTTCCGTGGTCATGTGGCTGGCATGACTAAACACTGAGGCGCACGGAATGCTGTTACCTTCCCACCGAAGTGGTACCTATTTATCTACTTGCAAGTTCTTGCTTTCGAACTGCTAGGTTGGCAGGAGCTGGAACTAGAGACGGGAGCTCACTCGGTCATGCGGCACACTCGGGTCTCGGACTGCTGAACTACTGACCTTCCACAGCCTGCAGTTCAGCGTCTTAACCACTTGAGCAACCACAGTATGCCTCCTTTGATTCAGCAGTCGCCATGGCAATAGAGCTAGGGCAAGGAGCTGTTTTGCTAACACTGATGCTGACTCTCCTTTTTGTCTTCTCCCTGGACACCTTGGGGATTTTGAGCGGCTTTCCTTTTCGATTGCTGATACCTTTTTTATTGTGGTAAAATAGGGTTGCCAAGTCCAACTTGGGAAATTACTGCAGATTTAGAGGCCATGGAGGGGGGAATGTGGGGTGGGAATTCACCTAGAATCTACGGTATACCGTGGAGTTTGCTTTCTGAAGCTGCCATTTTCTCTGGGGGAAACTGACCTCTGTAGCCTGGACATCAGCTGGAAATTAAATATGAGCAGTCAGCGTGATGCGGCGACAAAAACGGCTAATACAAGCTTGGGGTGTATCAGCAGAGGCATAACATCCAGATCGCAAGATGCGATCGTCCCGCTGGACACTGCATTGGTCAGGCCACACTTGGAGTATTGTGTGAGGTTCTGGGGGCCTCCCTTCAAAAAGGATGTGGACAGAATGGAGTGCATGCGGAGGAGAGCGACAAGGATGATCGGGGGCCTGGAGACCAAGCCCTGTGAGGAAAGGCTGAGGGACCTTGGAATGTTTAGTCTGGAGAAGAGGAGGTCGAGGGGAGAGATGAGGGCTCTCTTGAAGTATTTGAAGGGCTGTCACTTTGAGGAGGGCAGGGAGCTGTTTCTGTTGGCAGCAGAGGAGAGGACTCGTAAGAATGGATTCTGTGATTCTGTGAGAGCTCCAGAGTCCACCTGGGGGTTGGCAATTCTATGGTAACACCACGTTTATGGGGTTGCTCTGTTTCCAGTGCAGCTTCTGCAAAAGGTGGCAAACGTTCTGGAGGTATCAAGCCTTAGGTCAAGGCAGCTCTACCCATGGATCAGCTGTGAAGCAGTGAGGCCTAGGGGATACCAGAGCAGCAGAGCACCCCTCTTCCCCCTTGGTTATCCCTCCTTGAGCTTCTTCTGATTGTGTGTGTCTGTGTGTGTGGTTATATCCCCCCTTTTCTGTACTGTGTATTAGGGTTCCCTTCCCAGAAGGAGGAAGAGGAGGTGGAGACTGGATTTATACTCCACCCTTCACTTTGAGTCTCAGAGCGGCTTACAAACTCCTTTCCCTTCCCCTACCCACAACAGACACCCTGTGAGGTAGGTGGGGCTGAGAGAGCTCTTCTGAGAACTGTCCTTGAGAGAACAGCTCTGACAGAACTATGGCTTGCCCAAGGTAATCTGGCAGCTGCAAGTGGAGGAGTGGGGAATCAAACCCAGTTCTCCCAGATTAGAGTCTGTGCACTTAACCACTACACCAAACTGGCTCTCGCACCAAACTGGCTCTCCACTGCCTCAGCAAGTGCTGGAAGTTTTTGAAGGCAGTGCCTGGGGAGGGTGGAGTTTGGGAAGGATGTGATTCCACTTCTGGTGGCTTCCCCACCCTTCTGCTTTTCAATTCACAGGGAGCAGGAAACCGCGCGATCTAACAGTAATGTCTCACCTGTGGTGGGTAAATGAGAGGCCTAGGATGTGTACTTGCCCCTGAAACTGGAACAGGGGGAGGAGACTCCCTTGGGGTTGGAACAAGATGGGGAGCCTCTACAGGACGGACCAAGCTCTTGGGTTGCCAGTTGGCCGTGGTGCTTGTGCTTCTTGGTGCTTCTTCCCCAAATCATATAGTCAACAGTGGCTTTCCTTCTCTTGAGTGGAGTAGGACATGCTTCAGAAGAGCCCAGGAGGCATCTCCTTTGGGTCTGCGAGGACCATCCATTTAGAAACAGCTTTCTCCTTCAAAGGAGGACGCCAGGTTTGTGGGAGCCTCCTTAGCCTCCTGGTGAACCTCTCCAACATTCTGTGGTTTGGATCCAGCCTCTGCAGCAGCCATTTTGTTGCTGTGCCTGCTAGGGTTGCCAAGTCGAAAAATCTCCATACCGGGGGACTCCTGGTCCGCGGCTGGAGCGCGCACCGCACGCACGTCACCCGGAAGTGACGTGACAATGCCGGGCATGCTGGGGGCGGGGCCACGACCATCCAAGGGAAAGGGTTCCCCCTGGGGCCTGATCTGCCACCGGCGGGGAACAGGCCTCTGGGGCGGGGGTTTCCCCGCCCCCTGGGGGGACTTGGGAAGCCTAGTGCCTGCTATGTGTTGTCAACATTGCGGAGGTGCCCACTGGCTCAACAAGGTTGGGGACCTCTGCTCTAAATAAACAAGCAAAGCCCATTATTTTGTTTTATTTACCTTATTTATACACCACCCTGATCTGGATAGCCCAGGCTAGACTGGTCTCATCAGATCTCAGAAGCTAAGCAGGGGCAGACCTGGTCAGCATTTGGATGGGAGACCACCAAGGAAGTCCAAGGATGCTATGCGGAAGCAGGCAATGGTGAACCACCTCTGAATATTTCTTACCTCAAAAACCCTACGGGGTCACCACAAGTTGCCTGCAACTTGATGGCACTTTCCACCAGTATGTCTTCTCCATTTTGGTGTAGTGGTTAGGCATGTGGACTCTAATCTGGGAGAACCAGGCTTGATTTCCCACTCTACCACATGCAGCTGCTGGTGTGACCTTGGGTCAGTCACAAGTTCTTTCGGAGCTGTTCTCTCAAGAGCAGTTCTCGAAAGAGCTCTCTCAGCCCCCACCTTCCTCACAGGGTGTCTGTTGTGGGGAGGGGGAGGGAAAGGAGATTGTAAGCTGCTCTGAGACTTCTTCAGGTAGTAAAGGGTGGGGTATAAATCCAATCTCCTCCTCCTCCTCCTCTTCTTCGTCTTCGTCTTCTGCTCCACCTCCTGTGGCAACAATTTTATATTGGTTCTTGTCACCTCACTTCAAATTTCCAAAGGTGCCTGCAAGCTTAAAAATGTAGGGGACCTCAGCCTCAGAGGAATGGTGGAATTTTAAAAAATGCAATATATTTTTGCAGACATCTGAGTGAGGCGTCTTCTGGTGTTAGGGCCTTTTACCTTTTCATTCAGTTCATTTCGAAACTGAAGATCTCAGAATTCAGGGGAGGTTTTTAGGAACGTGCAAAAGACTAGCATTCTAAACTCTTTCTCCTTTTAACGACTGTCCTGCTGCTTACCACTGCACAAATAAATATTTTTCTGACACCCTGGTTCATTGGTTAGACAAACCCACTCTAATGTGAACAGAAGCCTGAGGGACCTTGAGATGTATATTGCTGATGGGGAAATTCTCCTCACGATTGGCCCAGTAGACCCAGTGTGGTTGACAAAAATTAGTGCTACTGTGAGGAATCTGTACCTCACAGAATGTTCCCCGTGGTTTCCCCACAATATGCATGGATGTGGGCAAGAGAAGGGTGGTAATGTGAGAATTGGCTCTAAAAGGCAAGCATGGTTTGACATTTCAGGGAAATTGCTTCCTTCTATAGAGTGAATAATATACTCATGTTTCCGTTCTTGTAAACAACTACAAAAGATAGGCTTAATTTTTTTTCTCCCTCATGTAATAATATGTGGAAAGCGAGTGCAGTTTTCAGTAATAATGGTGTGGGATATCTTACTTTCAGTAATAAAATATCCGGATTTTCCTGGGCCTATTCTTTTCCATAAGATTTAATATCAAGCCATCCCACCCACTAGAATGGACTTTTCTTTACAAGAATAATCTTTTAATTCTACCTCACTGTGTCTTGTAATTGCAATAAGTATTTCTTCAGCAAGGATAATCCTTTGTTGTTTCAACTAGTAATTGGCAAACACTACGGAAGATGTAAATATTTACAGACTGTAAAGGATTTCCTGAGCTAGAAAAACCATTTTCTCTATCATTCCAGAATTTCCCATTCCCCAAACACAGAATATACACGATTGCTTTCTCCTGTTATAACTTCACTTCTTCTGATATTCTTGTTCTTCAGAATTGCACACCACAACTTTAATTCTCATGTCAGTGGTTCTTCTGGTATTATTAACTCTGGGTTCTTTCTCTCTCTCTCTCCAGGTTTTGTCTCTTTCCGAAGTTCTCTGGCCATGCACGCTCTTCGTTATTCTAGCTGTAGTCCGTTTCCAGGAACCACCAAGACAGAGAGAGAACTGTAAGTTGTGTACTGAAATAGTTCTCTTGACAAATCTTGACAATATTTTTTATATATAGCTACTAGGAAAAAGGCCCGTTGTGGAAATAAATACTACGATTTCTAGAAAGAGGCTCTGGGTGGGTGCCCCGGCCTTGGACACTCAGTGTCAATTTGCTGTGGTGATCTCAGCAGGGTATAATGACACTGAGTCCACCATTTTCTCTAGAGGAACTGATCTCTGCTACCTAAAGAACAGTTGTAATTTTGAGTGATCTCCAGCCCTCACCTGGAGATTGGCAACGATGGTTCCCCAGAAGGGAATGGTTGGTTTGGAGGGTGGAGTCTATGGCTTTGTACCTGTCCGAGGTCCCACGCCTCCTGAAACCTCACCCTTTCCAGGCTCCATCCCTCACATCTCCAGGAATTTCCCACCTGGAGTTGGCAACCCTATTTCCTTCCCAGCTATTCATCAACCTACCTTTATTTCCCCCTCACTCTTCAGCTTTCCACCCCCCACACACCTGCAGCCTCTCCCGTGCTCTGAAGCCCTGACTGCTACGTCACATTGGCTGTCATACAGGGGCCATCTCAGCAGTATATAAGGATACAGACCCCATCATTTTCTCCAGGGGAACTGATCTCTGCCATCTGGAAAGCAGTTGTAATTCTGAGTGATCTCCAGCCCTCACCTGGTGATTGGACACATTTTTCCTCAGAACAGCAAACTGTTTAGAATATTAGAGGCAAAAGCCAATCAAATCGCATATGCAAACGACCTCTCTGTTCCGAGGCAAAGGCCAATGAGGCTGCATATGCAAATAACCTCTGTGTTCTGACTGGCTATGGGCGGGGCAGGGGGGAACAGCAAACTTTAGAATGTTGGAGGCGAGACTCAAGTAATGCAGCCAGTGGATAGGGATAGATTCTGAGTGACACACTAGGGTGCCAACCATTTCCGGAGTGTGTGGAATGTTCTAGAGAAGTGCCACCACCATTCGGCTTTTATATATAAGGGAGATATCTAAAAAAAATTAGATGAAGCAGGTCAGGTGATAAGACATCACGACAAGAACCACTCCTATAGGTCAGGTGACTACATGGCCGAGTCACGTGATTCTCCCAGAGGTCCATGTGAGTGCATCATATTAATTACGACCCAGCACAATGTGTTTCTATTGATTGCATTGCCGAAAGGGGAAAACTGAGGGAAGTATAATGGGATTTGTTGTACAGACTTCTTTAAAAAGTTGTATCATCGTCATTCTCTCGTTTTGCTGGACTGTGTGCATGAGAACTAGACCAGGAATGAGGCATAGGTTCCAGAAGACCGATTTATACCAATAATAGTGAGATGACTGTCATTATGATGGTTGGTGTGTGGAGTGAGTGGCAGTATCCAAGAGGGAGCACATGCATTGTGGCTCATCGTCTTCTGGCCCGCACCCTCCTGCATTTTCTGTTCCATGGTTGCGCATGGGGTGAAGAAGTCTGTAAAAGGCTCCTCATCCGTGTCTGCAAGTTGCAGCTCATCCTCTTCTGAGCTGGGAAGTGTTGCTGAGTGTTATGTATTCAGATGGATTGTATTCACATGGACTGTTATGCGAATTGCCTAATAGAGATTCAATGTTAAGCTTCGCCCTGGGCTAGGATCCTAATGTATCCAATAGGAGCCCTAGCCCAGGCAGTGTCGTCCAATCACGTTACAAAGCGGGATCGCTTGTGATTGGCCTTTATCTCTCCAACCTCATAGGTTGTTATTTGTACAGGAGGTGTGGCTACGTTAGCCGGGAATGTTTAAATACAGAGAAGCCAGTGTATATATTTTGATGGGTTCTGGCTGGCGATTGTGGTACCGTGTTGGAGAAGTAACGAAGAATAAAAGCCGCATTCTAGCCGAATCACTCTCCGACTCTTTGTTAAGTTCGCGACTTAACACTGAGAAAAACAATTTCACCTGGTCACCGGGCTCCCTTGCATCTATGTGCTATTCAGACAAATGGACCATTTGTAAGTGGTTTAATGGTGCATGAAAACATCCAGTTGTAAGACTTGAACTGCTCCAAAGTTATGACAGTGCTGAGTCCCATAGGGAATGGTCTTGTTCTCTGTAGTAAGTTACTTGCTTTTCAGGTTATTTGGAAGCCCGGGATTTGCCAAGCCGGGGCCTTTACCCTTTCGTTCAGAGCCTCTTTTGCAACGTTGGCTCCAGGTGCAAGAACAGCAGCTATACTGCTCAGAAAAACAACAGCTTCCGGTAAGGGAGTTCTTTTTTTCAAACTGAATACTACTCTGTTTTCTTACGGTTGCATTAATTGAGACCCTGCCATTACGCTCCATCTGTCTCCTCTCAAGCATGGATGTGACCTCAGTTAATTACTCTCAGCATTCCACAGTTAAGGATACATCTGCCCATCAGTCTCCAATTTTGACACATTTATTTCCTTCACTATGTTTTCCCTTGAAATTAAACCCAAACAAATGGTAACCGTATAAACTATGCTTGTTTATGCTGTTTGGTCCTTGAATCTGTTAAATGTTTTCATTCTGCTGCGTGCTAACTTGTTGTCCAACCTCTACCTATATGTATGAACTGGTAAATTCCATTTCACTGTATCTGAGGAAGTGTGCGTGCACATGGAAGCTTATACCTTAAATAAAACCTTGGTTTTAAAGGTGCCAGTGGACCCAAACTTTGTTCTGTTGCTTCAGACCAACATGGCTACCCACCTGAATTAGATCTCAAGAGTGTTTGGGGATGGAAGGGACCTCAGCAGGCCTGTGGCCAGGGTTTTGTGGCTTGTGGGGCAAATTTTTTTCTGGTGGGGCTGAAGTTCTCAATGCAGAAAGAAAAGCCACTTAGCCAATAGAATTCTGTTACCAGGATGGATCTCCAAATTGCAAGCTGTCAACCACTTTAGATGACAGTTCTCAGCTGCTGCAAGTTAATTACTTCTGCCAGCCTAAGCAACAATTCTAATAACAAGCCAGCAGGTAGGGCTGATGACTTCTGTAGTCAGGAAAACTAACACTTAGGCAGAAACACTCTCTTAAAGGAGACCAGTTTCTTGACAGAGTTAGAAGGTATCCTAAAGGTCACCTACTCTAACCCCCTTTCCCAGTGCAGGAGTTAGTAAATTACAGCACCCTTCTCTGCTTAAAGGAGCGCATGCCTTTAAAAATGTTTTTAAATGATTGGAAAAATGCATTTACAGGAGAGATTCTTGTGGGGCTATGCCTCTAAGGTTATCAGATTTTGAGAAATTTATCTTCCAACTCGACGATTCTATGATTCTGTGATTTTAAAAGAGGTTGTTGATTATAATGGTTTTAGAATCTATTGGGGAAAATGACATACACAGTTTGTGAGGGAGTTGACTTTTTAAGTATCATGATCATTGGAGCATCACCGTTCCATTGCACCAGGGCAAAGCTCTAACAGTCACCCCTGAACTCTATGGTTTCTATAGTTTTGGGGGTGGGTTCCATAGTGTTGCCCTGTTGCAATACCAGTGCTTCCAGGTGACGCCAGAAGTTATGCCATCGTGTGGAAACAACGATTGTCCACCCTTGTACAGTAAGTACCCACCTCCCCCTTCTCCTAATTTTAGCCAGTCCGTGCTGGGCAACCATACTTGTGCTCCTTGGCTCCAGCTCCAGTCTATTCTCCCGAGTCTCACAATCCAGGCTCAGGGTGCTACTCCAGAGGAGACCTGACCAGGCCCTCCTGCAGAATGCAGGATAGCAGGTTTGTGGAAACATTAAAAAAAATACGTCAAACAAATGTTGGAAATGTAAAAAGATAGAGGGCTCATTCTATCACATGTGGTGGGCTTGCGGAAAAGCAGAACAGTTTTGGGTTGAGATTCATGCAGAAATGGAAAAAAATTGTGAAATGTAAATTTAAGAAAGAACCAGAAATTTTACTTTTGGGGCTTAAAATGGAAGAAGTCAATATGGCAAAAAAGGACACTGATGTGGTACATGATCACAGCTGCCAGAATGACTTATGCGCAATGTTGGAAACAAGATAAGGTTCCTGAAGTTGGGGACTGGATCAAGAAACTACTTTTCATGGTTGAAATAGACAAAATGACAAGGAAACTTAATAATTTGGAAGCAGAAGACTTCTTTGCAGACTGGAAAGATTTTAAAGGCTATTTGGAAAAGCACTGGGATGTCAGAGATAATTTATTTTGCTTTGATCATTATTGAAGGTTAAAGGATATTAAAAAATAGATAAAGATATAAGAATAAAAATGGAGGGATAAGTTACCTATAGATATGAGTAAAAAAGGGAGGGACGAAGAACATCTAAGAAACGAACAGGAGGTTGGAGCACTGTGGGAAGCCGAGTGGGTGGGGGGGGAAGGGAGGAGGGTAGGATGTATAATGATATAAGGTTTGATTAATGTTTACTTTGCTTATTATATCCTAATAAAATGTTTTCCCAAAAAAATATTTCTACCACCATAGAAAAAAGGGAGCAAATAGGATCGCTTGAAAACTCTATGGTTTTATCAGACTTTAGGCAAATTCCTAGAGAGGTGTGACATCATTTCTGGGTTTTCCTGGAAGTGACATCATGCTGTTGGTCAACAGCCATTTGTAAGGTTTATTTTCCTCTTTCTGCCACCTGGACTGGTAACAGGAAACACCAGCTGGGGTCAGGGGAGATTCTCTGCCCCTACTGCGGGGTTTGGCATCCCTAGGTGGAAAAGTTGTACAATAATAGATGTTTTAAACAGGCTCTGTCCTCAAATTAATACATTGCTATTGTTATTACCCTCTCTTCTCTCCCCCTCTGGAGACCCAAAGTGGCTTCCAACTCTCACAGCCTCAACTTTATCCTCACAACAACCTGGTGAGGTAGGTTAAGCTAAGAGAGTGCGACTGGCCAAAGGTCACCCAGCAAGCTTCCGTGGCACGAGTGAGGACTCGAACCCGGGTCTCCCAGATCCTAGTCTGACACTTTTAAGCCACTACACTGCCAAGACTTGACCTTTAAACTTCCCATTCCCAAAACCAATGTGGGAGTGCAGTCTCAGGCTGGAATCCACCCCCCCCCAAAAAAAAATAGCTTCACTTCTTGTTCCACATCCTGTTACTTTAGCTGCTCCCCCTCCCTCTTGTTTCCCACTCTATCCACATTCCTGTGCTTCTTCCCAAGAACATCTTCCTCTAGTGGAGGTACCTGAAGTCTCTTCCCCCATAACTGTGTTCCAATAACTTGGGGGTGGGATGCACCTGTAGAATTTCTGCCTGTCATCAAGCAGTTAAAGGCAACGTGCCCCTGTCAGTGAAAATGTGGCAACCCTGTTAAACTGGTCAAACTGACTGGTAGCCCTGTCATAGATCTGGAATGTGGAGGGGTGCACCTCCTCCTCTTTCCCAGCTTATCCCTGGCTTGACCTTGTTGATGTTCCCAGCTGCAATTAACTCCTCTGGGAAGGCTAACGGCTTTTACGCTTTGCCGCTCACTTGCTAGCTTCAGCCCCCGCGCGCAAATCATATCCATTGGCTTCAGCTCATTGGGGGGGGGAGTTTGATTCCACTATAAGTCAGGGGCCATTATACTGTAGGGTATTCCTGACACAAGCTGTATACTTGTCCTTTAGTACTGGGCTACCAATGAACACTAATCTTCTAAAAGAAGCCTTGTATGGTGTACCCTGACTAAGGAACCTGACAGTAGCATTCTGTCGACATAGACCCCGTCATGAAAGTGATTCCCCAGTATGTGTTTGCATTTAACTTGGAATTGTTATCTTGTAAGTACTTCCAGGATTGTTAGCCATGTCAGTGAAGTGCTTTACCTATCAAACACCTGTAGGTAGTTGCCTTGCAGTATGATAGATAGCAGCTGGGAACTGTCAAGTCAGTCATCTATTGCTCAAGTGTCAGTTTGACAGCTGAAGATCTAGATTCAGATCAGTAGATCACTTGATTGGTCATTCTGATTGGTCACTCAGTTAGCAAAGTGACACATGAGCTAGCCTACAGGGCAAGAATGAAGAAGCTAGAACACCACATGATGACATCTCATCAGGAAGTGCTCGTGAAGCTGGAGGAGAGATCTTCACACTCTTCAGGACTTCTACTCTCGCGTCGCTGCTGGGAAGACTGCTGCCCAAGACATCTGCTTTGGAGCTCTAAGCTGCTCAGGGTTGGTGTCTAGAGGCTGGTTAGTTAGGTTTATTGTTTTTGTCTTTGTCTCATTGTACACTCCTTTCCCCTACTTGTATGTTTTTATGTTTTATCTTTTGTAAAAAATATATATTCTAAATTCTGTTTTTTAAACATTGGAGTGAGTTACTAGTCCAGAACCCAGGTTCATTTTATTCCTGTGCTAAATTTATGCTACCAAAAAGGTATTGTTCAATTGGGTATATTTAAATTCCTTTTATTTCATAACATCTCGGCCAGGTGACATCATTGGGGCACCCCAATGTCCTGACAGGCCCTAAGTGAGAGCTGGTTCAAGTTCAGTAACTTACAGGTTCTATCAGTTGTCCAGGTTTAATGCTGGTTGTTTTAATGAATCCATTTGAATCCATTTGAATAATCTGCCACAAGCCCCCCCCCCCCCCCCCTTCACAACTTCTGACCTACCAAGCTGAATGCAACTGATGGGTTGAGTATCTTGATCCTGCACGATGGTCTTTGCAGCAAAAAGATAATTGAGGCTCTTATGGAGCCACCCTATGTGGCTGGTGTGCTATGCCCTGCTGGTGGGTCTCTGGCTGTGTTGGTGTGCCCCTCAAGTCACAATCAGAGTAGAATGTTGTCAATGTTGAATTCAAGGTCTGCAAAATGGTTGCCCTTCTTTAACAAAATAACTGAAGAAAACATTCAACCACATAAACAAATATATCTCAAACTACTCTATATTTAGTTGTCAAGGTCCTCACACTCTTCAAGCCTATATTACACTTGTGTACCACTGAACTAAGCGATACACCAGATAAAATTACCCTATAACACATCTAAGTTAGCACTCTTTAGTCTTTAGTCAGTTCATCTCTTCTTGTACAAGAAGTATAACGAACTATGTGTTCCAAAAGTTATATTGATACCTTCAACACCAGTTACTCTTATAATACTCTCCACCAGATATGGACATTTTGAATGTTGCTGTTTTATTATGCTGTATTCATTTTTCAAAAATACTAATAAAAAGTTAATGAGTAAAAAAAAATGTTGAATTCAAGGTGACCACTTTTGTGATTAGGATGGTCAGCTTTTTAGCAGGTTTCT